GTCATCGAGGTCCTGTCAGTGGCAGTCAAGATCGTTCGAAGGTTACAAAGCGGCCATAGAGATCGTATTGCGGTCAAAGTCATTTGACGATCCATGGAAATGATTTCAATGGAAACGATGTCAAAATACAAATGTCTGTTGTATTAATTGATATTATATTATCGATTAATTGATTGTATTATACTTCGTCATAGATTGATTTTCTTTAGAATACTTCATTATAAAGTGATAATTCACCATATCAGAATAAATACGTAAGAGAGACTAAATTGTAGATAGGGACAGTAGTTGAACTATTTTCAAATGTGTTCATTTGACAATAAGTAGGAGAACAAGAATTATCAACACAGAAAATGTCGAGTAATGTAAACAGTTATCACATTGAATTCATAATATTAATCAGAAAGTCACCATTTTCTAACAACATTAAAATTAAAATATCTCCTAAATTAATGACTTTTTAACATAAATGAGTTCCTACCTTTTTGCAAAGAATATGAAGGAACATTAGCTGGTGTAATAAAAAATATATGCTTCCATTTAAAAAAATATTAATGACCTTCAACGTTACCTATCACAACTATGAATTCATCACTCAATTTAACCTCGTTAAAAAGAAGGAGAGAAATCTCTGATATTCTTTTTCTTTATAAAGTGCTCAATTGTCTTATAAATTGTTCTGACATATTAGAGATATTCTCAATCAATGTTCCAATTTTTCATTTAAGACGATACAACTTTCTTCAAACAACATAAAACCTATTTTGCATACCACTCAGGTATTAATAGAATGATTATTAATGTTAACAACACTTATCCTGCCCTAGATCTATTCAGTCAATCTCTTCACTCTATAAAACAGCTACTACATTGCACCTCTTTGTAAACAAATTTTTTTTTTCTTATACTTATACACATCACGTCTGTTTGTATATTTTTATTTTTATTTGTTACCATTAATTTTATACCTCACTGTAATAATTTTCTTCTAATTTTTCTAATAGGTTAATCCCGTATAAATAAATAAATAAATAAATAAATAAGTGTCCTTTACACATGCATCTACAAAAATAATAATACTATCAGAATATGCCTCTCTCAAAACCATACAACTTCATCCCAAATATTTTTCGATATGCGTAATAGTAATGACGTATATCTAGGTGGTAAATACGTGGTGACCCACCCTGTATATATCGTATCAACTTATCGATTGCTTTATTTTCGTGTTTTTAATTCGGCGCGTGAGCCATGAGTCCTCTTGGTCTGTTTCATCATTGAATCTTTGATGAAGCTTAATTCCTGTGTACCATCGTTAGCCTCCGCCGGAAACTGTTACTTCGGAAATAGGAACTCGCGTAATCTATCGAGACTTGCCTTGTCCGGCTGAAAATACCTCTAGTACCGGTTTCTGCGACGAGTAGAATTATTTTCCGTTGAAGTCACGGATTTATCGATTTCTCGAGTACCACTCGAGCTGTACCGCGTTCATTTTTTGGCGTCCATTCCACTGATTCGTTTGAAAGACTGATTCGGATTGCGGTGCCTGGCGCCGAGTCGATCCTCGTGCCTGTGAATTCGAAGCTCGATAACTTGAATAGTTTGTTAACCATATGGATCTTTCTTTCGCTCTTGCGGTTTAATTGATAACGCAGTTTGATTGTCTGATCGCTGGAATCGAGTGCATTTTGTTGCTCCTTAATTGATTCGCTCGGTATGTAACGAGCCTCCATGTTGGAAAATAAATTGTATATCTGTATCGAGTATCCTACGCGCGTGTCACGAATATTCTAGAATAATAGATAGAATTATTTTCTTCTTTATTTATAATTTAATATAAATAACTTATCAGATTCTTAGATTATCTGTACTAATTTTCGTCATCTTACATTCTATTTACTATATATTCAAAGTGTTTTAAAAGTACAATTCAATCTCAGAAATTAGTATTATAAGACGTAAATTCAAGTCTCCAAATATCCTGTATATTTTCAATTTATCGAGAAGATATTCTTATATATAAAACATTAAATATCTATGAAACATTTATCAAATATTCCTGAAAATTTAAACATAATAATCCATATTTATTTATTTATTTAATAATAATCTACGGGTAGTAGAATCCATTAGTGAATAAACAAGAAATAAAGATCCATCAGTTTGTTAGAGAAAGAAAGAATGTAGGTTATATATGGTACAAATGCCGATATAGTGGATATAAACAATTTGCTTAGAGATTTAAGATCTGGTATTTAAACGATGAGATACTATTACCAAAAAATTGAAGGTTTGATGAAAAATTGTTTGCAAGAATGCATATTCTATTGATAGGGTCTGCTGATTCAAGTCGTGCAGTATTATGCTGTTCAGGTATAAAGATTTGATAGTCTCTTAAATTTTTTGAAGAAGCATGAAAATTAATGAAAGATAATAATTCTAGATTACGTATAATAGCTTTTATAATTTTGAAGAGAAATAAAATGTCAGCAGCAATTCTTCTCGATTCAAAAGATTTAAGATTAAGCTTGCGTTGAACAGGTTCATAATCATGATCATAAATACTCATATAACGTCCAAGTTTATAGCCAGCCAATCCTAGAAATCTGTGTTTAATCTGTTCAATACGATATTTTTGACCAGCTTTAGTTGAAGGCCAAATCGTCGATGCATATTATAAACGGGACCTAACTAAGGTACTATATAAGAATCTTAACACTAGATTTACAAAATCCGTCAATTTGATAGATGGGTTGCTCCAATTATACGATGATAACAAATTTAGTTAACTTATATTAAGACTCTTAACCCTTTGTACTCGAGAGGTGATCTTCAGTCACCATTTCATAAAATTTGGAAGATCGATATTAATTAATATATCAAATTTAATGTAACGTAACAGTGTGCGAGGTATCGAAATCAAATAATTCTACAATTCTATTATACAATTCTTTATTTACTGCTCAAAAAGGTACCGTCAGTTTTTTAATAGAGAATCTTTGAATTTCTTCTCTTCTCTAGCCAAAAAATCGTCGAGTGCAAAGGGTTAATATTGTAATTGTTTTTAAATTAAACTAATAGTTAAAAAAAGAAAAGACACGTGGTTTACTTTACCTGTAAATTTGACAGGTGTCCGTAGAAATAGGTATACAGATAGCGTCTATAAACCTAGTGCTAAAGAGTTTACATTTTTGAAGGAGTTTAAATATTTATTTACTAATAATTATTCTTAATGGGAATCTAACGATTAGTCACAAATAAATGTATAATAAAAGAATACTGTATGAATTCTGTAAAAATACTGTATGTGGAAGAAAAGGGAATCGGACTAAATGTTTCCAAAAATACCAGCCATGGCGTACAACTTGTTCAAAATTACTTGCAAGCTAAAAGATCGCCGTACAAAACCGCCGGCCACGCTACCAGCATTGCACCATGCAAACACGACCACCATCCATCGCGCAGATAATGGAACACCGCAGATGTTTCTTCGCCATCCACGTGCGCCGACGAAGGGTCGAATTAACCGTGTTAAATCACCCGTTCTTCTTTTTCCGCATAAACCATAGCCGGGCTATAATTTCTAGACTCCCCTGTTCCGCGGCGTGCGTATTTTTTTTTCCCTCCCCTTCTTCGTAACGACCGTCCACCCTCTTACCCGCTCCTTGCCGGATGCAAACGGGCGAATGCATTTCCTCGGTCAGGGGCAGTTAATGGCTGAACTGCAGCCACCGAACTAGATGGCATTCCGCAGGATTTACGGGGCGACAGCTTTTACAGCCGCGTTTCGGTATTCGCAGTTTCGAACCGTAACATCCGCGCGATTTCACGCCGCGAAATCATGCCTCTATTTCCAATTGACAGGCCTTCGATCGATGTCAAAAAGCGCGATACTCGCCTAAAAGCTGCCACACGTAATTGCCGATTTACCGATGGCCCGTGTTTCCTGCGACCCTAAATGGTCTCCCTCCTTTGGTGCAAGGGGTGTGGATCTCGCGAGACGATGGACACTGATGTGTCTACTTTGCAGGTTTTATCTATTTTTGAGAATATATGGAATACTATTTGTCTATTGTGCAGTTTTAGTTTCGAAATTAATTTCAAAATTAATTTGGTTGGTTTTCATATTGATTTTTGATGGACCGTGTTTCCTGCGACCCTAAATGGTCCCTCTTTTGGTGCAAGGGGTGTGGATCTCGTGAGACGATGGATACTGATGTGTCTACTTTGCAGGTTTTATCTATTTTTGAGAATATATGGAATACTATTTGTCTATTGTACAGTTTTAGTTTCGAAATTAGTTTCAAATTTCGTTGGTTTTTGATTTTTTGATGGCCCATGTTTCCTGTGACACTAAATGGTCCCTCCTTTGGATGAAGGAGTGTGGATCTCGTGAGACGATGGACACTGTATTCATTTTGCACGTTTTCTCTATTTTTGCGAATATAAGGATTCCAATTTTTCTATTGTACAGTTTTAGTTTCAAAATTAATTTCAAACTTCGTTGGTTTTCATTTTGATTTTCCGATGGCCAAGGGGTGTGGATCTCGTGTAACGATAGACACATTGATGTGTCCATTTTGCACGTTTTATTTATTTTTGTGATTATATGGAATACTATTTGTCTATTGTGCAGTTTTAGTTTCGAAATTAATTTCAAAATTAATTTGGTTGGTTTTCATATTGATTTTTGATGGACCGTGTTTCCTGCGACTCTGAATGGTTCCTCTTTTGGTTCAAGGGGTGTGGCTCTCGTGGGACGATAAACACTGTTTATTTTGCACGTTTTATCTATCTTTGTGAATATATGGCATACTATTTGTCTATTGTACAATTTTAGTTTCGAAATTAATTTGAAATTTCATTGATCTTTATTTTTATACATATAGGGGTAGTGTTTTTTGGAGTATTGGGGATGTAGAAGTTTCTTGTTATTAATCGCGAAAATGATTTTCGTGGAAGTTATTCGAAATGTTAAAACGATGTATTTTGTGTTACAGCCAACCATTTTCGGCACTGTGGCCTCGGACCTGAACCCAAAGGATGGCAACAGTCGAAGGGTGAGTGTTGGATAACGACAAAATTTCATATCGATGGGGTATAATTAATTCTTTGACGCTCCTGTGTATCATTACTAATGAATTAAACGTGTGCTAATTAAATTTTGCTCGATATTAAACATTGTAAATTGTCGCTAATTTCTCAAAATGACGAATTTCCGATTTATTTTCTGTTTTAATACGGTTGAAATATGAATATTATTTTCGGATGATATATTTTATTAAAATGTTTTATATCATTTTACACGTTCACGTCGGAATAATTAGTTACCGTCAAACGGCAATTAGTAATTAATTAGTATCGAAATAATAATAGTAGCCGGCCATGTTTCGTCATTGTCTACATTCCAATATTTTATTTCCATAAATTAATAATAATGATCAAACAGGCCAGGAATTATTTCAAACAATAGACATATCTGGAAAAATATTTTGAAAAATATTTAAAAAAGAATTACCTATTATCTCTTGTACATAATTACGATATTACTAAATATCTTGATGCAAATTTTAATTTCCCACCTCTTCAATTTCCACCAACACACAATTACTTTATTATACAGTACAATTCTCTTTATTATAAATTAAAATATATATAAATTAAATATGTATTTCTGAAACATACATTTATTACATTTTCTCATAGCACTAACGTGGCTAAGAATAATTTCGAGCCCTACATTCGCAATGAATCCGAAGAAGTATTATGCTCCCTCTCCGATAAATAAATCCGCAATTATGAGATAACGAGGAGAGTAATTACGAATCGAATATTCTAATAATTACGAGAAAGAGAAAGCAGGATTTTCTGGCAGAAAGGTAGAGGGATGTTCGTGCAAGAAAATCTGGGAAAATCTCCGTCTTGTTTTTCATGAAACGCGTCCCGTGAGATTCTTGCTCGACTCTTAATGGGTAAAAATTGCTGCTAAGTCGCTGTTCTGCTTCTCCCTCTTTAAACGCTCGAAGATAGAACGCCCTAGCGCCCTAATTAAAAGTAACTGCCGTGGCAAGCGAGTCTTTCAGTCCTGGAACCCTTTCTGCGGCCACCCTAACGCACAAAGTCGCTTTACGCCGTGCATAAATTTTTCCTAATTGCGAAATCATGCAGAATACGACGAATCCTTGGTACATCGCGTATAACATCGCGTGTTCGTGCTTGAAATCGTGTGCAATTTAAGACGTAGAATTATTTTACTTCGATATTCCACGTATAGTTGGGCAATTGTAAATTTGATATATTAATTAACATCCATCTTTAGAATCTGATTAAATGGCGAGTGAGAGGGGCCCCTCGAATGCAAAGGATTAAATCTCTAAGCAAATTGTTTATATCGGCATTTGTACCTTACGTAACCTATATTCATTCTCTCTCTAACAAACTGATGTATTTTTATTCTTTGTTTATACATTAATGGATTCTACTGCCCCTAAATTATTATTAAATAAATAAGTAAATATCAAAATTATTATTTTATTAGTGGTTTAGAGAAAGAAATTTTAGTAGTATTATTGTTTAAGGGCAAATTTACTCGAATTTACTACACGGTTTGTGTTTACCTGTTCCCAGTGTGAAAATTCGCAACTGAAAGTTTAAGTTCAACGTAAGCTTTCTTGCAAACACGCGCTGCCTCTGTTGGGCTGATGCCATAATCCGTGTCACGAGTGTGACACGATGTTATAAAGCAAAGGATTAAAACGTTGTGTAAGATTATTCTAAGGCACTAAAAATTTCCGCTTTTCACCCATAAAATATTCGCAAACAAACGTGAGGTATTAGTCGAGACAGGAATGAAATATTAGGGAACGAGAAGAAACGACGTTCCCTTCTGTCAAACGACGTGACGCAAATTTGACAGTCGGAGGAGATAATTTCCGAAGAGAAAATTGGCATACTTCGTTTGCTAATTTTTGCATGGTATAATTATTCGTTCGCTCGTGAAAACATGATCCTTCGCTTAGGTTTATGCGTGTGTATTTGGTAACCGAATTTTTTCCACCGACCACTTTTTCTTCTCGTACTGCGATTCATACGCGTGCAGAGATAAATATTGTCACAGTTTGCAGGGACGCGTACGCGAGGCGAAAACTAATCTAATCGAAACATCGGTTGTTATTTCACGAAGTCAGCGTTCCGGCTGGCGAGTTCGTTACATCGTGATTCTAAATTTCGCTATTTTCTTTTGTAATTGGTAAACGTTGAAAATACTCGATTGCTTGGCCACTGAGAGGATCGCGATTTGTCGATTCTCAGGTAAATATTTTCGTTCCCCCCCGGCATAGTGCTTCATTCGCTTCGTATATCATTTTATAATACGTATAATTGTTTGTTCAAAGGCGATGGAACGTATCGTCTGAATCGAAATTACCGGTTTAAGAAACATTTCCTTCTATATGTAGGAGTTCCAACCTTTTCTTTTTGGTATTTTTGTATGGAGAAATATTCTAAAATTATTTCTGCACCATAGGATTATTTGATATTTGTTAATTTCGAGTGGATTTTAATTATAACTACAGGTTGTTGGTGCGTTGGGTAGATAATTATAATTATAGGTAATTGAATGTATTTGGTAATCTGTCTAGTGGATAGAAGGTTTTAAAATGACTACATACACTTTTCTCAAATATTGGATTACTTGATGTCAATTATAACTTCGATAAAAGTTTCGTCAGTTACAAAGCGAACTATTAATGTATATTTTATAAATAATATGAAATATAAGTATTCATTTTTTCAACCAATTAATTTTTCTCGAGTCGCCACACGATTCCTTGAAAAATCACCCCATATGGTCTCGAATTATTCTAGTAAAAATGGAAAAAGAAAAAGTAAAAGTAAAAGTACCAGCAGGCATAGCTTTTAACCAAATATATCCATTTGTCAATCTTTTCTAGCAAAATTTCTTTCATAGAACCAATTAATTTTCGTTGAGTCTCTATTTTATTCTTTAAAATATCACCCCTTATGGCCTCAAATTATTATACTAGAAGAGAAAACAAAATTTTAAATGAAAGTATCAGCAGACATAGCTTTTAACCAAATATATCCAATTGTCAATCTTTTCTAACAAAATTCCTTTCATAAAATCAATTAATTTTATGTTAAGTCACCACACGATTCCTTAAAAGACCACCCCTTATAGCCTGGAATTATTACGCTAAAAAGAGAAAAAGAAAAATTAAAAATAAAATTAACAGTACACATAGCATTTAACCAAGTATATCGAATTGTCAACCTTCTCTAAGAAAATTCCTTTCATGAAACCAATTAATTTTCGTTGAGTCACTACACGATTCTTTAAAAGAATCTTTTCTTAAAGCCTCAAATTATCACGTTAAAGTAGAAAATAAAAAATAAATTGAAATATTAACAAACGTAGTATTGGACTAAATACATCCAATTATGAATCTTCTCTAACAAAATTCCTTTTTCACAGCCGCCTAATTTACATCGAACCACCACACGATCCCTCAAAAAGCCACCCCTTAAATCTCACTTCTTCAAACAGTTATATCAAAGAAAAGGAGAAATGAAAAAGAAAGGGAAGAGTGAAAACAGCAATAAACGTAGCATTGAAATAAATATACCCAATTCACGAGCTCCTCTAACAAAATTCCTTTCACACAATGAAGTGACTTAGACCAAGCAACCGATGAAAAGTCTCGTACCGAGGAACCCCTGAAGCAACGTTCGTATTCCGAACAGCATGAAACGTTGGAAAGCAATCCTCTTTCAATCGGAAGTCAAGTTTCGTGTTACCTGGGAGCAGGTGTCATTAAACAAGCGATGCAACGATGGAAATTCTCGATCGTCGGTAAGCGTTCACCGGCGTCGCGATAAAAGTTCACCGGATCGGATAAATTCATGAATGTTAGATGCCTGTTGCCCTGAGAGGCGCGCGCGATCCGTGAAGCGTATCACAATTCCCGTGGCCCGACGGGGGTCGACTCGCCTCGAATCGATCCCGATGAATATTTAATTCACGATCCCGGTAAACGGCGTGCTCGCGCCACGCGTCATGTCGCGAGCAACTGCGCGCAGTTTTTTCACCCTCTGAATCAGGATTCCGCGAGAAATTTGCAGCTGCAATTGTCATGCGTTATCTCTCTGCCTGTCTGGTTAGACTCGGTCTATACTAGACAGCGAAATTTCAGGGGAATTTTAGAGGTCGTCGCAGAAGAGGGTTGAAGGGATGTCACCCCTGTGTAAGAAATTAAGACATGACACTTAATGGAAGGGCTTTATTTACGCAAGGGGGGGGGGGCTAGGGGTCCGTGAGGGGAAAGCTTCGTCTCATAGTCTAGTCGCAAACGAACTGCTTTTTCAGGGGGTAGTTTAAGTATTCGAGGTGGTGGGGCACTGATAGCGAAGGCATAAGTCAGGACCCCAATTGACTCGGGGCCCTTGATGTCTCTAGAATGATGATGGTATTTTACGAAATCAGATAGTAGATGCATTGCAATAATTTCAGAATTTTATTGTATCGAAATTGTTATAGAATTTATAATTCCTCTTCTGTATTTTGAATTTATTGCATATGTATGTGGACCCCAATTAATTCGAAGCCCCGATGTCTCTAGGATTGGAAATACCTAAGCTTCTCTTTCCCGGATTAACGGATGCGTTCCTATAGGGTGAAGTGAGTTTCATGGTGATGGTATTTTACAAAATTAGATATTAGATGCGTTGCAATAATTTTAGAATTTTATTGCAACGAAATTGTTATAGAATTTATAATTCTTCTTCTGTAATTTGAATTTTGAATTTATCGCATATGTATGTGGGCCCCATTTGACTCGGGGCCCTCGATGTCTCTAGGATTGGAAATACCTAAGCTTCTCTTTCCCGGATTAACGAATGCGTTCCTATAGGGCGAAGTGAGTTTCATGGTGATGGTATTTTACAAAATCAGATATTAGATGCATTGCAATAATTTTAGAATTTTATTGCAACGAAATTGTTATAGAATTTATAATTCTTCTTCTGTAATTTGAATTTTGAA